CACACCACACACAACACCACTCAGGACCTACCTCTGCCCACACACAGCCAATTGCAGCACACTTCGCTCTTCGTCAGTACATGACCTGCCGGTGCTACATAGCCTGGTCACACAGACGCAGCTCTTACTCATTTGGCAGAAAGAAGCCTTGGGCGCCATGCGCATTCAAGGTATCAATGGCTCACAGATTTCTGCAATTCACATTGACCATTGCATTTTGCTGCACTCCTCATCGTTGCAAGGGCCAAGATATTCATTTGCTGAAAGTTAAAATGGTCCAAATTTTGAACTCTAATACTCTATGGCTTTCCCTGTTAATTATTGACTTTTGGTGTTTTCTCCTTCGGAACCACCACTGCCGCGGACCCTATCTTGTAGAACCCAAAACCCTAGCCTGAAACATCGTGCCTACTGAGCCACAGTGACTCTTATCAACATATGCATTCCATTTGGCGCCCTTGCTTTTCAGCGCACAAAGCTCTTTTTGTCCATTTTTATGTGTCTAATATCTTCCCTGATCCAGCAGAACCTAGTACCCTCCACCCCCGCCGTACCCCCTTTGCATCTAGTAGCCTTGCCAAGGCCGCCTCCCTGTACAGGGCCACAAGTTCGAAGGGACGGGTACCGACAGTGGTGGTTTAAACCACCAGTTCGTTTCCCGGCCATTTTGCAAATAGAACAAAGCATAAATCTAAAGTCTGCAAAGTCGGAGGCTTGGAGCATGATGTGATGGAGGAATAGTCTGCACTGATACTTGCTCAATGTGTGGGTTGCTGTGATGATCCTACCATTTTGCCTGTTTTTTTCACAAATTCCGCAATCTTCCCTCTCGTCTTGCTGTTCACTGTGACTATATAACTGTCAACTTCAGGAGAACCCTCATGGTGTGCCAATTCGCAGATCGGTCTAGACTTCTGAAGCGTTAAAGGAAGGAGGTGACAAGGTGTGAATGTCAAAGGAGCACAGTGGGAGATAAGGTCTTGGAGGAGGTCATTGGACCAGGGGTTACAAATGGTGACTTCTTTCAGTGCGGCGCGCCAGCAGCATTAAGCTGCCGCTTTCTTTCTGTTTCATTGATGAAACATGCTTCCACCCTCCTGGCCACCTGCCTTGCTGGTGTTTGCCTTGCCATTACACCTGCCTGCTTCTCCCCTTGCCCTCCTGCGTGTGTACTTGCTGAGCTTGCTGCCTTGCATCATCGCCGTTCCCTTGTCTGCCCGACCCTGTGCGCTCCTCTGCCTGCATACCATGCTGATGCTCACCTGCATTTCTTGCTGCCGTTTCTTTTGTTGTCTTTGTGCTTGCCTTGGCCTTTTGCCCGCCCTCCCCCCACCCGCTGTGACTCCCATCTCCATGCCTTGCAGTTGCTTGCTTTGCTGTCTTGCTGATTGCCTTCCTGCCTGCGTGCCTGCTCGCCTGACCGAGTCCTGCTTACTTGTCACCTGCCTGCTTGCCTGCTGGCAAGTTGGTGTTGAAGTGGAACATCACTCAAGGCATCATTTGGGGATTATACAGACTGTTGAGGGCCGAGCCTTGTGACAAGTCAGTGAGCGTCCAAGAGAACATGTAGTCGCTGACTCTGTTGAGGGTTAAGAGTCAGTGAGCGTCTGATAACGACATTCTGTCACTGACCCCGTTGCGGGTCAGCGTCCTGACAAGTCTGCGAAAGTCCGACGTGGCAGTCTATCGCTAACCCCTTGCTGCTCATGTTTGTGCCGTGCTCTTACTTTCCGTGCTGCCTTGTGCCCACCGCTCCACCCTGCATGTTATCGTCTAAACCCCACCCGTGCTGCCTTGCTAAGATACAGTGACAGCGACATTACGTTGAGGGTTGAAAAGCTGCACGACGATTGTACTGTTACTGGTGTTGTCCTGTATGCATGGGGTTCGTCGCATGCATAATGTTGCTGTCACTGTATCTTAGCAACACCCACAAACACCACTGCCGTTACTTCACGATGACACTTTCCGCTTCTGGATCGTGGATTCATGGTCCATATTATCCTCTGACTCACCTACCTGTGTTTTGTACTTCGCTGACTCTTTGCAGGTGAGCTTCCTTTCTCAAAGAAAAAAAGAAACAAAACAAAACAAAACAAAACAAAACAAAACAAAACAAAACAAAAACAAAAACAAAAACAAAAAACAAAAACAAAGTGCAGCAGTTCCAACATGATCGACATCTCCAAGGTGGTCGCTTCATGATGAGCCAATATGCATGCAGGATGCACTGATGCAGAAAATAGCAGAGACATTGAATCCCTACCTATCTATCACCTGCGCTCTCACTCGCTCCCCACTTATCTACTAAATGTAGTAAATGTTGTTTACCTTCCCTTCATCCAGATGTCTGCTGAGTGATGATGAGGACAGAGTTCTCTGACAAACCTGACATGGTGCGCAATCTCACAAGCCTGTCATTCCAGACTGGAACCTGATCCATGAAATAGGTTTCAGAAAAAGCCGGGAGCACGCCTCTACTTTCTTCCTCTCAGCAGAGGAGGTTGGGAATCTGGATCACAAGTTGCATGCAGAGGATGAAGAGAACATTGGCAGGAGTGCAACGGACGGAGGGCAGGGGGGAAGGAAGATGGGTAATCAGAAGTGAAACGAGGGGCCAAATACGACAGCTGGTATGCTGTTCAAGTACAATGTCATCCAGATATGTTGCCATAACCATCTCCCAAAAAAAGCAAACTCCAAAAAAAAAAAAAAAAAAAAAAAAAAGAGCAAAGCACAAAAAAAAAAAAAAAAAAAAAAAAAAGAGCAAACTCCCGTTCAATGCAAGTGGCAGGACTGGAGACACCAAGAAAGTGGGAGCGAGAGGTGAAAAAAAGAGTGGGAAGCGAGGAGAAGGTGGACTCGGCCAAGGTTGCAATTGGGCATGGAAGGCGATAATACAGGGGGAGGTTATACAACATGGAGAAGGAGACGAAGGAGTGTGATGATAGGATTGACGTGGCCACTTATCAGGCATGGGCAAGGTTGAAAACGGGTATCAAATTAGTATCAATTTTATTACATTGTGTGCTTTTTTTTCCGAACCTTAGACCCAAGCAGTCTATGAGAATGTGATTTTACTTGTGTTACATGATGAATGATTGGGATTGACAGTGATAGTGGGCTGTAAACAGGACTGGGATGCAAGAGTACCATCTCTCTCTCTCTCTCTCTCTCTCTCTCTCTCTCTCTCTCTCTCTCTCTCTCTCTCTCTCTCTCTCTCTCTCTGTGTCTGTCTCTCTCTCTTCTC